GTTACTGGTCCTCTCAGCCAGCAGCCAAGTGTCTCCCTGGTCCTCAGCCTCTCAGACACATGGCCAATCTGCCTCCAAGGACCAGGAAGACCAACCGTTCGCTGCTCTGCCGCCAACTACCAGCCAAACTCACTTCCTATCTGGTTGATTCTGACTCGTAGCAACAGTTCCCTCATCTCGGCACTGCTTCTCTCATCAACTCGCGTCTCCTTGTCTCAGGCTCTGGGCTCAGCTTAGCTACTTTGCTCTGTCCCATAGCCCCGGTGCCACAGACTCTGGTGTCTCTGGTCTCAGCCTCGGCCACTTCAGACAGAGATCTGGAAGGTGCTTCCTCGCTCCTCCCCCGCATGCTCCACTAATCTATTGTTGACAGTGGACCTGACAGCATTGCCTAGATCTGTTCTCCTACGAATTTTATGGCTTTACAGGACCCATCAATATGCCGTTTTTTCAGAGAAACACCTTAGACGCAAAGATAAAAATAGACTACCCTGTTTCCTCAAAAGTAAGACACCCCCAAAAATAAGACCTACTTACAGTTTTTCTTCTGGCTGAAATATAGGCATCCCCCTCAAAACAAGACCTCCCCAAAAATAAGGCCCCCCGAAGCTACTGTAACTCTGGACTATGGTGGGTGCCGACCCACAGCTCACTGTTGGCCGCAGCACAGCCGGAGCAGACAGGAAGTGCGAGGTCTCTTTTAATAAAACAATAAACAATAAATGTGTACCGTATTCTTCTTCATGGAAAAATAAGACATCCCCTGAAAATAAGACCTAGTGCATCTTTGGGAGCAAAAATTCATATAAGACACTGTTTTATTTTCGGGGAAACAGGGTACAATCAAAGCATGGAAAGAATCGATCACGCTAACGGCAATCACAAAGAGCAGGAATGGCAATATTAATTTCTTTCTTTCTTTTTGGAGGGCAGTTCTCTTTAGTGCTCTGGGTGAGGGGTGCTTAGGAGCTCTTGGTGGGGCGAGCCCACTTCCTCTTCACCATCACGGGCTTCTGGTCACATAGGATGGCCCTGGCTCTGCGGATGGTGGCCATGAACAGGTGGAGGTTGTACTTGTTCTTACTGATCATGTGCCTGATGCTGCTGAGCATGGCCCGGGCATTCTTGTTAATGGTGGTCCACACACAGGAGGTGACCAGCTTCCGCTGGCCTGACCTCGGCCTCAGGACCACCACAACCCCCTTGCCATTGGCAGTGGGTTCAACTCCCAAGGTCTTGCAGTGAATTAGCGCACTGTAGCAGAATTGCGGGCTTTCAGGGTATTGGACTTACTGTTGTCTGCTGGTTCCTCTTGATCAGGAAACTCGAGCACTTCCACACGACCATCCATTGCAGATGCACAGACCTGGCGGCAGCTCCTCTCCCTGCAGTGGCGGGAGATGGAACGGGCAATATTAATTCCTGATAAAATAGACCTGAAGGCCAAAGCCAGCATGAGAGACAAGAACTCAAAACCAAACTCACTGCTATTGAGTCTATACTGGGCTCCTAGTGACCCTATAGGACAGGGTCGAACTGCCCCCGTATGTTTCTGAGACTGTCACTCTTGACAGGAGTAGAAAGCCCCGTCTTCCTCCTGAGGAGGAGCCGGTACTTTCTCCCAAGGAGTGACTGGAAATTCAAACCGCTGACCTTATGGTTCACAGTCCAACAAGTCACCACTGCTCCTTAGTGAATAAAGGGTCCGCTGAACCAGAAGATAAAATCATAATAAGTACATATTTGCCCAATGAAAAATCTCAAAATACATTAAACAATAATTGATGAGAGAAACATATAACTGTACAATAACAGTGGCCTTAACACACCACTTCCAATGAAGGGTGAAGCAACTAGAAAGGAACGTAACTGTGGGAAACCAACAAATGTCACTCCCACAGATTCTCCCCTACAGCTCTGCTGCCTTAAAGTGAGCACCTGGTTGATTCTGTCTCCCAATAAAGGCAGACGTTCCCTGGTTATCTCCTCTCACTGCAGCACCCATGCCCCCCCATGCCTTCCCCCAGTGCAGGTATTAGGTTCCTCACCTGTGAGCTCAGGGACTTTACTGTGATCCCCACCCACCTTGTGACGTATGTAACTCCTGAATATGCACAACTAATGACGACCTATAAAAGCCCCCAAACAATAAAGAGGCTCTGTCCTCTGGTCCCCCGTCCCCCTCTCTTCCAGTCCCCTCACCTCTGGGCTCCCCTCCTTCCCTCTACCTCCTTCCCTGCTCCCTCTCTCTCTCCTCTCCCCTCTTCTCCATCTGTGTTGTGCATGGACCTGGCTGGTGAGATCGTGGCCATATAGGAGGTGAGCATGCTACTATGACATGTGTTTGACTCCTTTATTTTACCTCCTCGTCTATCTCTCTTATTCTCTATGACTTTACTATACTCTTTATATATCATAGCCATACAACTGTGCCTACTGGACCTGTGATAGTGTGAGGGGCTGGTCCCCCACACTTAACAAAGACAGTCAACCAACTTGAGCTCTTAGACATATACAGAGCAGTCCAATCAACAGCATTGCAATATTCATTCTTTATTCGGTGCACATGGAGCAGTCCCCAGAATAGACCACATGTTAGGCCACAGAGCTAGGCTCAATAAGTGAAATAGTGAAAGATTACAACACATATTCTCAGATCACAATGCTACAAGTTTAGATATTAGCAATAGGATGATCCAGGGAAAAAATAAAATACATGGAAATTGAATAGCATCCTATTGTAAAACTATTGAGTAATATTGTTGATGTTGTTAGGTGTCCTTGAGCCAGTTCCAACACATAGTGGCCCTCTGCTGGGCTCACAGAGACCACGGAACCATGCCGTGAATACGCTGGGCTCACAGAGACCACGGAACCATGCCGTGA